TGTGCTCTTTGTTGCATTTTTTGCACAGGATTCGCGGCCTGGGTCCATGACAGAGCATCGCGAGTGCACCGCGCGATGACGTGAAATCGCTGGATTTGACCGAATTCTTAAGATTCCTATGGTTTTCCTATGATTTCAGCTAGAGAGCCCGGGCGGGAAATTTGTACAATTTTTGTGAAAAAGCATTGGGTTTTTGATGTGTTTATGTTGAAATGCTTGCAAACACACGGTGTTCGGTAGGATTCTGACATGAACGCGCGCGTGTGCTCTTTGTGGTATTTTTTGCAATGGATTATCGCCGTGGACGACAGGACGTCCATGTCGAGATGAAAAAATAAGAAAAATGTTGATTTTGTATTGTTTTTTACAGGTTAGGATGGGACCACCCGGATGCGGCCCCTATCGGCCGGCCTGAGGGGGGAGTAGGAGTATATTCTAATAAGGAATAAGGATAGGAGTAGGAGTAGGGATAGGAGTAGGAGTAGTGAGTAGTAGTTAGATAGTAGTAGTAGTTAGTGAGTAGAGTAGTAGTCGTAGTAGTGTCGTAGTCGTAGTAGTAGTAGTAGTAGAGTAGTACAGTAGTAGTAGTAGTAGTAGTAGTAGTAGTAGTGGGGCAGGCAGTAGCAGTAGCAGTAGCAGTAGTTAGTAGTCGTAAGTAGTCGTAGCGTAGTAGAGTCGTTAGTCGTAGTCGTAGTAGTAGTAGTCGTCGTAGTAGTAGTGTATGTACGTAGTAGTAGAGTAGTAGCTAGTAGTAGAGATCGTTAGTAGTAGTAGTAGTAGTAGTAGTAGTAGTAGTGGTAGTAGTAGTAGTAGTAGTAGTAGTAGTAGTAGTAGTAGTAGTAGTATTAGTAGTAGTAGTAATAATAGTAGTAGTAGTAGTAGTAGTAAATAGTAGTAGTAGTAGTAGTAGTAGTAGTAGTAGTAGTAGTAGTAGTAGTAGTAGTAGTAGTAGTAGTAGTAGTAGTAGTAGTAGTAGTAGTAGTAGTAGTAGTAGTAGTAGGATTAGTAGTAGTAGTAGTAGTAGTAGTAGTAGTAGTAGTAGTCGTAGTAGTAGTAGTAGTAGTAGTAGTAGTAGTAGTAGTAGTAGTAGTACTAGTAGTAGTCGTAGTAGTAGTAGTAGTAGTAGTAGTAGTAGTAGTAGTAGTCGGTAATAGTAGTAGTAGTAGTAGTAGTAGGAGGGGAGGAGGAGGAAGGAGGAGGAGGAGAGGGGGAGGTTGAGGAGGAGGAGGGCGGCATCTGGGGGAGGGGGAGGAGGGGAGGAGGAGGGAGGAGGAGGAGGAGGAGGAGGAGGAGGAGGAGGAGGAGGGAGATGGAGGAGGAGGAGCAGGAGGGGAAGGAGGAGGAGGAGGAGGAGGAAGCAGGGGGAGAGAGGAGGAGAGAGGCGCAAGGGGGATGAGTCGCAAACGAGTTGTCTCACCCAGTCCCCGGGGTCCGCCCGAGAATTTTGGCCGCTCAGAACACGGGGGAACTCTCTCGGGTAAACCCCAAGAGGGGGCTATTCGGGCGCAACCCCCATCGAGAGTGGATGCCCACCAGTCGTGTATCCCAGGGCTTCGTCCAAACTTTCGGGTCCAGGAGGAGGAGGAGGAAGATGAGGAGGAGGAGGAGGAGAAGGAGGAGGAGGAGGAGGGGGAGGGGGAGGAGAAGGAGGAGGAGGAGGAGAAAGCAAGAGGAGGACGCACTGGCCGGGCACGCGCGCCCCGCCCGCAGGGGCCCAGAGGAGCCGCGGGCACGGGGGGGGCGGGGGGTCCCTGCGGCAGCTCGTGGCTCTCGGGGTGCCAGTAGAAGCCGGACAGCCAGCTGAACGTCGGCTCCCTCCACGTCCAGTCCTCGCCGCGGGGACGTCACAGCCAACCCGTGTCAGAAGGATGCGCGGCAAGGGTGCAAGAGCCTCGGAGGCCCATGTGAGCGTCTGTCGAGCGAGGCTGGCCTTTGAAAATCGCTGAGGATGGGCCGAAGGGCAAGGATGCAAGGGTCCCAATTGGGAAGGTTGCCCATCCATCCTATGCGGATTGACTGTAGTGAGGACTCACGAAAGCGAAAATGCGGATGCCCATTGTTCAGCATGTGGTGGGACGAGCTGACACGGGGGGGAAGCGCAACTGCAGGTGCTGGGGGACACGACCACAGGACCACAGGCGGTGATTAGTGCACGAAAGCCCAGCATCGACGCGACGTACGTTCTATAGCGCGACGAAATCTATACATGTTCCCTGGCCCCTGGCCAGGCCAAACCTGAGCCCAGCAGCGGTGTATACGCCACGATGGGCGTGGCTTTTTACCTTCACCACCACCATAAGTTGGAGGGGGACGGGGTCCTCCTCCTCGTCCTCCTCTTCGTCCTCCTCCTCCCCCTCCTCCTCCTCCTCCTCCTCTTCGTCCTCCTCCTCCTCCTCCTTCTCCACCTCCACCTCTTTCCCCCTCCAACTCATGGTGGTGGTGGTGGTGGTGGTGGTGGTGGTGGTGGTGGTGGTGGTGGTGGTGGTGGTGGTGGTTGAACACAGGCCCATCACGCCACGCCATCCACCAGGAGCAGGGTACAACACACAGCTGCCCGGGCCCAGGATGGGGCGGGGGCAGGGAGCAACGGACACGCAGAGACCTCGTCGCACGGCGTCTCGCCGCGCGGAGGGAGGAGGAAGCAGCGCGCTGAGCTTCCGGCCCCGAGGCCGGAAACTCCGCCCGCTTCCTCCTCTTCCCTCCAGGAGAAGGAAAAGGCGGAGGACGCGGAGGAGGAGGAGGCGGAGGAGGCGGAGGAGGAGGAGGCGGAGGAGGCGGAGGAGGAGCAGGAAGAGGAGCAGGAGAAGGAGAAAACAAAGGGCGGATGAGGTAGGATGACGGCCCAAACATCCGACGTCGTGAGGCCTGCACCCCTTGCCAGAAAGGCACTCCCCTCCAAGGTCGGGGACGCACTCGCCCGGGTCAATGCCCACCCGGGTCAGTGATGCATTGCAGTATCCTGCAAGATCCCACCGGATCCTGCACGAGATTCTGCACCCAAGCCCTGGTCAATGCATCCCTGGCCCTGGAGGATCCTGCAAGGTCCAGCGCGCTGGCTGACCCTCGTTTGCATTGACCCCCGTCTCTTCCAAGACATGCGACGTCCTCATTCCCAACCATCCTGTGGTGTTGGATCCTCGTTTTGAAGAGACAGCGCCCGGCGTCCCTTCTCCTCCTCCTCGTCCTCCTCCTCCTTCTCCTCCTCCTCTCCTCCTCCTCCCCCTCCTCACTCCTCCCTGCGTTTCGCCCACCCAGTACAGCGCTTCGTGGGCCCCACAGGGAGCTTCACCGAAGGTCCCAGTGGCACCGCCCGCATGCGTCAGCCACCACACCCAGTACAGCGTTTCGTGGCCCCCATAGGGAGCTCCACCAAAGGTCCCAGTGGCACCTTCCGCATGCGTCAGCCACCACCCAGCACAGCGTTTCGTGGCCCCACAAGGGGGCTCCGCCGAAGGTCACAGTGGGACCGCCCGCATGCGTCAGCCACCACCAAGTACAGCGTTTCGTGGCCCCGTAGGGAGCTCCGCCGAAGG